ACCATGACTTCCCCCCCGCATGTTTACACAAAATAAACAAAAAGACAATGCAAGATCTTAACCTTTGTCCCCCTGGTCCGTCCTCCTCATCCGCAAGGCTAATTCTAAACTCCTTAGAGACGAATGGAAGCGGTCCAGCAGTGTAGAGACTCTTTCGACCATCATAGACCGGAAGGCGTCTCCCAAGGTGTGAATCACGGTACAACTTCACAAGCTGCCGCATCACAGCCCGGTTAACACCACTGGACGAAACCTCGGGAGTAATGGTAACCTGATGATAAGTAGTGAAAAAGAGTCCCACATTAGTTGGGCAGGTTAACTACAATGCCAGTAAGAAGGAGCAAAGTAGTTTGATATTAAGTCACCAGGAAGCGAAACTTACATCATATTGGTGCAAATCTTTGTCAGGCAATTCAGCAAAGAAATGATTAGCCTTAACAATGCATCTCTTGCCAGTGACGCCCTGACCAGGCCGGAGAGGAAATTTAACAGATTTGCTAGAAGACGGCAAAGGCTGGATGACCTGACTGGGGCCTCCTTGCTGGATAGAGAGCTGTTGAAATTGGTGTGCCGGAGGAGAAGGGTCAAGCCTCTGAGCAGGACTCGCCTCAGACGGTGTAGGCTCAGAAGACACCGTTTGATACACAAGTGAGGTAGCTTGGTGCAGCTCGGGAACTGATTGTCTCTGTGGTCCAGGAGAGGGTCCACCTCCACGGCCACCGCCATAACCCCCACGACCTCCTCCTTGATACGGAGGGCCTCCCCTTCCCCTGCCATGGTACTCTGCTGGTCCACCAGATTGTTGCTGTTGCGGTGGGCCACGTCCACGACCCCCACCACGACCACCATGCTGAGACTGAGGATTCAATCCCCTTCCACCTTGGTATCCCCCACCACCTCCCTGGCTATAACCACCGCGCTGAGGAGCACGGCCACCCCCTGAACCAGCTTCATGGGACTCGGAACTCTCCCCGCTTCCATCACCTCTCTTCTTCCTCACCATCCTTATTAGTCCTGCTAGCGAAAACGCGGTAAAGGACGGTAATCAGTAAAACAAGAGGGAAAGAAAATTCTCAGACAAAGGGTATCTGACAGAGAGCCCTGAGACAAGCAGGAACTGCGTAATTCCAGTATCCTTCCTTGGCCAACCAAAAATTGCGCAACGATCCGCAAAATATACAGACGGATGACAAAAACCCACATAGACCACAGAGCAGAGACACTGGGATGACTATTCAGGTAACATAGCGGGAGAACAGGCACGAAACTCCCAGGAAGTGATGAAAATGAAACAAAAAACGCTAAGACAGTACATCCGGCAAAGGGAAACGAATAGATCTATCGATCTATCGCCAAAACATAAAGATCCACGTATAAACAAGACCTATCAATGAAATGGAGTAAAAATACAGCAGATCAGCCCTAAATGGAAGCCAGGGAAACTGAGAGCGAGATCTAGAAGAAGAGGGGGAGAATCCGAAGAGACAAACCACCGTGAATCACCAGAAAACCGCTATCACTGCGCCGGAGACCCAAAAGGATAAAGAAAGCCGCACCAAAACCACTCGCTCGAAATGAGACAACGGAGTGCGGTTACTGCTACACTACCAACACCTCCACCTTTGTTTTATATTTTTTTCCTTAGTGTGTCTGGATTCGGACAAAAGAAAGGGGAGATACAAGGGTTAAGAAAATTCCAAAAGTACCCTTCCCGTACGATGACGTGGATTGACCAAAAGCCGTGGTGCGGTCTGAAACAGGCAGCCATGTCGTAATGCGTTGCTGATGTGGGCAGAATCACATATGTATGTAATGAAATAATCAATTAATGAATCAAGCCGCAGGGATTTCAAAGTGACGAGGATAGAACTCGACTCCTCCTCCCCTCTCCTCCTCCCCTCTCGAGGCTCTCTTCACACATTCACCTACGGATATATATATATATATATATATATATATATATATACTTCGTTTTTTTTGGGTAACGTGGGTAACCCATCACGCAGTACCGAACACCGGTCGATTCCATGGGTTGGATCTCGAACAGTAAACCTCCCGCTCCATGTAATAGTCGGCAAACCAATCCTACAGGTAAATCAGCCAAAACTGACCGGTTTAAAAGAAAACTCAGGTCTCACAAGGAATCGAATCTACAACTTCATGTAAAACAATTTAGCATTTTCCAATTGAGGTGGGCACTTAGCCTATCTTTCTTGCATGATTCATGAGTGGAGAACTCTCACCGGGCCTTGTTGCTCCGTCGTCCTCCCTTTACAGTGACCGTTATTGATTGTAGTTGATTCATCACCCACTAACCTCATTATTAGACTCACCCGCTTGTTGTATTAACAGCCAAACAAACCTGTAAACAGCAGCAAGTCGCTTATCAGAACATTGCAAGGAAGATGAGGAGAAAATTACTTCCAGGGATCTCATTTGAGATTGAAGAGGCAGTTGCAGTCCAAGAGCAACCTCAAGACTGTTCACAGGAAAAACAGGTTCGCCAATGCTGCATCCTATGTGCCAAATGTTATGTGCTGACTCAGGAAATTTATTTCCGGCTTTCCTATCTCCTCTTTTTGTCGCTCAGAACCAGCTTTGAGGAGGACAAGGATTCCCATGTCCTGGGAACATTCTGATAAAAAGCCACAGCAGATGTGAAGTCAAGATTATCGATTTGGCAAGTAGCTGTTTCGAGACAGACCGTCTTTGCTCTTATGTCCAAGCTAGGTCCTACATCGTGCCCCAGAAATCATCCTAGGATTTCCATAGGACAAAAAAAGACAGACATTTGGCCGCTTGGTTTTGCATTTTGGCAGAACTCTGTACTGGCTGGCAACGCAAGTGTTTTGCGTATCCATTGACTTTTCAGACAACAATCATAGCTGGCTAACAAGATATAACTTGTGTCTGCGTTTGCAGGTTCTTTTCCAAGCAGGAAAGGAGTAACAGAACCGATTATGTATGTAATGTGTGACGGAATTAGAGAAAAAAAGATTATATTTGAAGCCATTCTTTATCAAGTTGCACGGAAGACCGAGGAACCTGAAGCTTGGTGGTCACAGGGCGAGCATTCATACATAGTTCTTGTTGACCGAAACCGTGCTCAGGTTCCATCCAGATGGTGACAAAGGATTCCTGGTCGAGCCTGGGATTGCCGTCAAGCATCAGCTCGTCATTGATCACTTAATAGGCTGCATCTTTCTGCATATACTTTCTGGGCATCTTGAAACTGATACACACATCCATTGTAACATCAAAAACTGAAAGCAGACAGAATCGAGAAAGAGATCGAACCACCTGGGAACAAGACAGCAGCATAGACATCTATGGAAGAATGCAGAGTCGGAGGACAGCACCATCGCTTAAGTTCTGATAACAACAGAGAAAAAAAAAATCATGTTTGAAGTTTAACATATACAAAGAAGAGGAAGCTGTACCAACTATTTTTAAGAAACTTATTATTGTCCTCAACCATAAAAGAGAGTACATCAAAATCAAGAATACAAATGCTCTTTATGATCTGATTTCAGACCAGATGCATGAAACAGCCATAGGTCTCTTATTCACACGATTACAAATTACATTTGGATCTCCTAGAACATTTTCCCAATACCGTCTTTCCTTGGAACGGATTCTTGAACATCCATTCGGCCCCAACTCCCCACCAAGGGAGCCATCTGATCAACCTTATCATACAGCCCTAGAAGTCCACCAGTGTGTATGAATAATATCTTCCTCCCCTCCCATTTCTTGGGATCTTTGGCCATCTCTTGCATCAAACCATATGCAGCTTTCCCGCTAGACAAACACCCAAAACAAAATAACAATCCCACTACATATTATATATGCTACTCGAGGCCATTGGACGATAATCATAACATTTTCATTTGCAATTTAAAGGGACAAGGAGAAACAGAAAAGACTACAGACCTGTAAACAGGATCAAGAATGACACCAGTGGCATTTGCTACTTCCTTTACGTATTGAAGCTCCTCCGAAGTGTTCATGGCATATCCTAGTCCTTTGGCCTGCAAGAACATAAGAACCAACACAAAAGACAAGCATATACGCACTCAACAAGAAATCTTCATGAAAAACGTCAACTTGTTTGTGTGTCTGAGCCGCCGAGAGATTTCAACAAAGGGCAACACAGACAGTTGTGAAGGAGCACCAGCCAAGCCCATCAAGAAGAAGGCCTTGGACAAAGGATTAGAACACTCACATTGTGGATACTAACAACATCATGTGAGTTAACGCCAGCTTGAAGTCCATCAAGAAGGCCTTGGACGAAGTCATGGAAGTAATCAGGATCATCGCAAACCGAGAAAGCATGAACCTGCATGACTAATGAAATTATCAATACGTTACCTGCCTAATTGACATTGAACCATGCACCTAAAACCGGAGGAAAGAAAGCCACACCTTTGCTTTTAGAGGACCCAACCATGATCCCAACGAAATACCAGCAACTGTACCTCCACTAACCATAGGAAGAGGATAAAGATGAGAATGAAGCCACTAAATCAATGGATGAGAGAAATTCACAAGGGAAGCAAAGCAGAACCTGCCACACGCTACGATGATGTCATCAAACTTTAAGCCATCAGACCTACTCTGGAGCTGCTGCTCGATTTCCCTTGCAGCTTCAATATAGCCCCTAGATGACAGTGTAGTGATCATAAAGATTATAAAGGGATCATAAAGCAATTGTGTAATGTATACAAAATCTCAAAGAAGTGCTAAAAGCATTCGGACAGGGGGGGGGAAAGAAGTAAAAACCCAGAAGCAGCAGCGTCAAAATCTCACCAAGTTCCCAGAGAGTTGGAACCACCGACAGGAATAACGTAGGGCTTTCTTCCTTCATTTTCCAACCTCTCTTTAAGAACATCAGAGAGGGCCTATAATGTTTATCCTCAACAACAACGAAAACAAGATTAGGAAACATATCAGAGATCGAATCTTGAAATTTTCATCTGAGAGGAAGCAGTATCGCATTCCGACTAACCACACTGCCAATGGAGGCATACTCTTCCTTAGAGATGAGATTAACGTGAGCACCGACGAGACGCTCGACCAGGAGATTCCCGACCAATCCAGGATCTTCGTCGACCAGAAGCTGCGACGCACGGAGATGATGGTGAGACTCAGTGAGAGCATATAGGTATGATAGAATAGAAAGGAAAGGGGACCTTGGAGGTGCGGAGAATGAGATAGGGACGGAGGTTGAGATAGTTGGAGACGACGGCGGTGGCACGGCAGTGGTTGCTCTGTATGCCTCCGATGGTGATGACGGAATCGGCTTGGTGAGCCACAGCCTCCGCCATCAGGAACTCCAGCTTCCGGACTTTGTTGCCACTAAGTTCCATGCCAGTGAGGTCGTCGCGCTTTATCCAAACCTCCGCGCCAATGGGGAGGTTGGGCAGATTCCACCGGTGGATCGGAGTAGGAACCTGAATAAGGAAAAAAAAACAGATGAATTGGGAGAGAGAGGAGGAGGAAGTGGGAGAGAGGGTGAAGGGAAGATAAAGGTACGTGAGCGAGGGAGAAGGAATGAGAGGGAATTGGGTGAAGGTGAGAAGCCCATGGAGGAGGAGAGTAGGGCTTCAAGGTGAGGAATTCCGCCATGGATGTTGAAGGAATGCTGAGATCAATGAATGGATCTGTTATTGTCGTCTTCGTAAGAGATTCATAGGATACGAGTGTTGGGTGTCTGTAGTCTCAAAATGAACGGGCCGGGCCGTCCCGAGCTCGACACAACCCTGAATATTTACGGGGCCGGGCCCGCCCAAAAACATAAACGGGCCTAAAATCTTCGGCTCGAAACCCGGTTCTATAAATTTTTTTTGGATTTAGGTCAGATTTTGGGTTAATTTTTTTAAAAAAAATTACAAAAAAATATAAAATAAATTAAGATAATTAAAATATAAAATTTTAATTTGAGATAATAAAAAGATAAAAAATGAATAATAAAGTTCTATATTTTAATTTAATGTAAATTAAATTTTAAATTCTTTAATTTTATATCGTAATAAATTTTTAAAAATCTTAAATTTTAATATTTTTCAATTGAAATAATTATTTAAAACTAATAATATTATAATTTTGAATATATTATTTATGAAAATATTATATTCTAAAATATTTAATATTAAATAAATTTTTAGTTTTTTTATAATTCTCTATATTATATAATATTTGTAATACATGTATATACAATATATATATATATATAATTGAATAAATGTATATATATTTTATCTATATATATAATTAAATATGTGCGAATATATATGTATATATATATATTTTACTGTATATATATAATTTATATTTTAATCGAACCTATAGACCGGACCGGTTCGACCCAAACCCGTTTTTATCCTGCAATTTTTCTAGTCGGGATGATCCGACCGGAATAACAAACGGATCTTGATTTTTGAAATCCAAACTCATAAATTTTAGGGACAGATTCGGACGGGATATCGGGCTTCAGATTTTTTTTTACACCCCTATATATATACTTGTAAACCGCAAAGGCAGGCTTATCTGATTGGGCCTGAGAGTCGAAAATAGACAAAGCCCGTGTAAAGAAGAAACTGGCGCTGCAGTGGTCATCGTTTCTAATCTCTCTCCTTTCCGTCCATTGTCCCCTCCGTGGGTCACTTGAAGGAAGTCCTTTGCTCTAGCTTGTGAATCTTGCTTGTCAGGAGTTTGACTATACTCGTGTTTGTGCCCTAACAAGCGATGGATGGATCATATAAATGTAATCCAGTAGAGGATCAAAACGATTCAGGGTGCGTCTACCCAAAGAAAGAGCTTGGAGTAAGAAGACAAGAGACACAAGCAATAGTAGAACCAAAAGTCCCCTTACAATCCCTCCTGGATTTTCCGCGTATAATTATCGTTGTAAGATTTGCACCATTCTCAAGTCCCGATAAAGATAGATATAAAGTCGAAGCCTTTATGAGGGGAGCAAGAATTACACACATGGAGATACAAACGTATATTGGAGTTAATAAATACCCAGACGAATCCCATCTAAGTTAGTTCTGTCGCACACATTACAGAGAGAGCGGCCAGCAGCGCTCAGTTCAAAACGAAATGGTACCTTGAGTCCACGTAGCTCTCCACGTCCCAGAGGAAGGACCCGAACGTCACTGCCTCCAGCACCAACCTCTTCAGCCCCCCGAAGCTGATCTTTATATGTTCATCCCTCGACGAATCAACTGTTCCCTCCGGCGTTATCATGATCTCCGGCCTCCCAAACAACGCCTCCGTGTGCTTCTCAATTATCCCGACTGCTTCTCTTGATCTTATGGTAGCGTATCTCTGAAGCGTCTCCCCATCAAAAGACATCACATATGTCCTCAACCGAGACGGCTTCAGTCCGCTGCCAAAGCCACCACCGCTTATCCCTCCCGCAAAAGAACCAACCTCTGGATGATAGGTCCCACCATCTCCGTTACTGATTCTCTCTGTTCCCGGGGCAGATTGCTCGATGCTGCCCTCTCCTTCATCCGAGCCACCAGGGAGGATCTTCATCGTCTTCTCGAGCTGAAATCTCTGATCTACACGCTTCAGGAAATACCCGTACATCACCGAAGCAGCGTACACCTGTCCAACTCTGAGTTTGCTTATCTGCGCAACAGATGAGGGGTCGCCCAAACGGTTTCCAAGAATGATGGTGAGATGGTTCTGAATCATCTCGTAAGCCTCGGGTGAGTGGAGCCGCTCTAGTCGCTCCTCTTGGGCTGGCCATGTATCAACCCTGCCTGATGGGTCTGAAGATGATTTTATAGATGGCACCAAAGAGACGTTTGCGTCCATGAACTTTTGAACTACCAACGTATACAATATCTCCTCCAACGCCCTCCTTCTCTCACTCTCCTTGACCTCTGCAATTCTCCTGAACTCACAGAAAACAACCCTCATTCAGAACAGAAGTGTTCCAATATATCTTAGGGTACAACTAATTAACAAAAATATCTTTCTTTCCCCTGTTGCCCCGAGGAATAAAACAAGATCAAGATGAGCCGTTGAGATCTACATGTACAGGAGGGTTCGTAATCGGATGAGAGAAGAATGAAGAAACCTGTAGAGGACGATATCGGTTCCAGGGACGGATGGTGAATCCTTCTGTTCCTCGGCATCGCGAACGGTTTGGAGCTGCTCCAGCTGTTGTTCGACCGCTGCGGGCACGAGATGAGGGTGGCTCACAAGTATCTGCGACAGAAATTGGCCTACGGGCGACTCCAGCTGAAGCGGAGCGATCGGGACTGATGAATCAGCCGAATCAGCAGACGCTGAAGCTCTAACCACAAAACTTCTCCCAGCTTTTCTTGCGCTTTGCAATGGTCCGGGGAATTTGGCAAAAGGGTTCTGCTGCAAGCACGGAAACCGAATCAGAACACTCGACTTTGATCACACCGTGATGGGTTAGAGACAAAAAAATCAGCCCAAAGCGTTCCAGATTTGAACAGAATATCCTGATGGGAGATCAGAACATCCGATTTCGAGTGATTATAAGGCATTTCTATGCAGAAATCCGCTGGCTCCGACAATTTTTTTTAAGCACAATATTGAGCTTTAGAGCAGGATTTTAACTCGAAGCGATTGAGAATAAGCCCCGTATAAGAAAGGACTAACAGACTAATAGAGATTCGAATCATGGAGACCAGAGACGATACCTTGAAGCGAAGCTGAGATGGGACACCGAATCGAGGGCAGGTCGAAGGCAGTAAGATGGATCCGCCAACATCGGAGGGAGTTCGGTGCAATAAAACAGGGGATGAAGCCAAAGTCGCAGCCATGGCGTCCATATTCACCTCTTGGGGAGGAAGGAATTTTAAGAAAAACGTGAGTTTGGAAGGAGAGAGGAACCCTAGAAAGAGAAGATGTAAGGAGAGATGGCTACAACTGGTCCTGTGACAACAAGCGGGTCGAGTTTGCCTAAATATATACACACGTTAATTGCGAAATGCTTCGTTACTATAACATTCCAATTTTGACCAGAAAAAAAAAATCCCTTCGAAAATAATATGGTGTCCAAGCCTGTCCACGCCATCGAATTTATCTTTTGGTGCGACTGCACATCTCCAAATAAGAATTCGAATCTTGATTAAAAAAGAATTTTATTTCATTTCTTAACGATTGAATCATCCAATCTTGAATGTATGTTTTGGATTTTTTCGTTAGTTAAAAAATTATCGATTTTTTTCAAAATTTAACGATTATAGCGTGCTTTATTTGTTTGGATGAAAGTAGCTAACATTTTATTTTATAATTTTTTTTTACCAATAAAAGATAAAATGTTTCGAAACCATAACATAACGCAGCTCGCGACTGAATAAAAAGATTATAACATTTCGCGAGGGATATACATATATGTATAGTTAGTAGCAGAATTAGTGGCGTCAGAATATAAATGTAGACAAATAGTCCACGTTTTTTTTGTAGAGCCGATGTTTTTTTTTTAAATGATGTCTAAACTCAACAAAAACCATATGGGCCACGAGTTCAGGTGTGTGGAATCCCTCATCCACGTGTCGCCTTCCTATTCGATTTGATAAATGATTTGAGCCCATTACTTTTGGAGTTCACAAAAGGCCGTATAACCTGTGTCTGAGTTTTTTTTTTTTATTATGAAATATTATATTTACCCTAAACAATGTTAAATGTTCTCAAACTCTTCAAGAGAATCTACTCAGAAAAAAACGAAAAAAAGATAAGTAAAAAATTCATATTAAAACTTTTAGATGATATTACAGCAATCCCTGAAGCACCATTCAACAGAAGCCAAAACTGATGGCTCTTTTTGGGAGTTATCAAAATTATCTAAGAATGAAGCTAAAACATTGAAAGAAAATTAAAGCATATAAAAAAAAAAATCAATGTAATAAGTGGCCAAGTTGAGATATTAAGACCAAAAGAAGCAATTTCTGCCAGGGAAAACACTTGGTGAAACATAAGTGTAAGTCAAAGCAAAAACAAAGCCCCAGAAAATAACATGTCAACTTTAAATAAAAGCAACAGATTGAATCTGCATCTTCCTTGGCCTTGGATAGTGGAGAAATCGTGAGTAGTATGGAAACGTACCTAAATGAAAAGAAATCAGTAGAATTAAGAATCACTAAACAATATCTGCAAAGAAAACATTACTTGAAGAGTAAATTACATTCTCAATTGCCAAATTTATCTGGGTATCGACAAGTTAATCACATAAATTCATGCGGATGAAATTTACGTAAATAGCAATGTCATCATCATCATGACATGCATTCCACCAAAACCAGAAGCCTACGACCGCAAAAGGAGAAACAATTCAAAGGATTGCTCCACCTTTCCAACAACGCGAGCACATTTCTTGAATGATTGTTTCGATGACAGTCTCAACTCATGCATCACATAATTGAAATCCAAATCAATATTTTTCAGTAAATCCATTTCTAATACGAATTGGAAAAAGAGAAAAAAGAAAAAGAAAACCAGATTCAAAAACTCTAAACAGATAACAGAATTCTTCGATGAACAGACTTCAAATCGCCTGTAACATCAGGCAAGACTACAAAAAATAACATCAGACATGGACAGTGACATTGATAGTGGCGTCGAAGTTGTCTTCGTGCCTCAGGACTTGGCTTGGATACACCACCTCTTTGCTCGAGTTCCACTGTCAATGGCATGATAGTCATCCATTCCTGCTCGAAGGGTGAGAAGAAAGAACTCTCCTTTTGAAAATAGGTATAGCCATTCATAAATTTTCTTTTTCTTTCGACCTATCAGTCTGTTCCACCCCATATGCAGAGAATGAGATACATACTACATTCATTGATTCACATGAAAATCAAGTCAATCGAGTATGAAATGCATCGGAAAACAGACTGATCGAACCTACAAAGTTGGGTTGTGCTGGTCATCACCTCTGAGCAAATTCACTGGAATATACTCATAAGCAAGTTTTGAAGTTCACCAAAAACAATGACAAAATGGATCCAAAAAAAGATGGGAAATTTTGGGTTTTTATACGCGATAGAAGTCGAAATTTAAAACGAAAACTTTTGAAATTGAGAGCGATTCGAACGATATGGGCACCAAATTTCTCCGGTAAGAGTATAGCTTCATCTTCTCCTTCGCCAGAAATCGCCTGATGAGACAACGATTTAGGATATTACCCGGTCATGGAACGAAACAGCTAAAAAAATTGGAGAAGCGAGTTCCTTTTCCACTCATATCCAGAAGAAAAAGCTTCGTACGTCCAAGATAGCACCGCAACGGAAGACACATCATATATATATATCAAAAGGGGTGTAAAACGGGCTGGTCCGGCCCAGCCCAACCCGGATCGTCCTGATCTAGAAAATTTTCAGTCTAGCCTAACCAACCCGTTTTTTAGCGAGCCAAAAATAGCTCAGCCCAGCCCAAATCGTCCGAAGAGGGGGAGAATCCGAAGAGACAATTTTTTAAAATACAATTTTAATACTAAAAAAATTTAAAAATAATTTTAATATTTTAAAATATTTTTAAAATATTTAAAATATAATAAAAAATTAAAATTTTAGATAAAATAAACTAAATATATAATAAAAATATTAAAATTTTAAAAAAATAATTATTTTTTCTGGCCCGTGGCTCGCTGGCTCCCGGCGGAAATGGCTTGTTAGGCCCGTTTTTATATGGGCTCAAAATATTTGAACCCGACTCACAAAAATATGAACTGGCTCGTGAGCCAACCCGCGAGTCGGAACTCATTTTACATCCCTATATATCACATTGGAATTAAATTGTCAACTAATACTAAGAAAAAAAGTGGATAATAATTTCTATCTAATGCTTTTGGCGTTTTTTTTAGTTGGACTAATCTATCGTTTTTTGAATAAATTTCATTTACTCTTGAAAAACTTGAACCCTCAAAGAGTAATGTGGAAAACCAATAAGTTCTATTCACTTGAGAAAGATAGTCAAGTACAATTCACTTTTTGTTGTAAGAATCGTACTTACTACACACACTCAAAACTCCTCTGAGTTTTTTCCCCTTTCACAATGAATTCTACTGATTAAAAAAATCTCACAACATATAAATCACTCACCAGAGAAAGGAGATTTGTCCAATCGGTATCCCTCTCAGATTCACACTCACCAAACTGTGAGTAAGCACTCACTGAACAAAGTAGACTTTTGTATTTAAGAAAATATATTCATGCTCTCTGAAGAGCTGATATGCACTTAACTCTCTATTTAAGTTCTTCTGGTTCGTCTTCAGATTTCCACCAAATGATTGGATCGACTTCTCCTTGATTCTTACTGATTTCAATTATATCTTCAAGATCTCATCTATATATCTTGTCTTTGACTCTATCTCTTCAGACTTTGACTCTATCTGAATCTCGTCAGTTGCATCTCATATTTGCTCGAGTGCTATTTCGCCGGATTCTTCTCCTAAAATCTCTCATAAGTTGTTGAACCTACAACAACCTTTTAACAACCGAAATAACATGTGTAAATACTTACACTAACAACTCCAATAATAAGTGTTGTGCACTAGTGAATATACCACCGTTTTTTTTTCATCTAGTAAATACGATTGGCCACATATTTTGGTTTTATTTTTTGATTTTGAAATTATAATAACCTATTACTAATTTTTATTATTATATCGTGTAACTTATTTTAAAAAAACATATATTTCATGTGTAAAATTTAGTGCTAATCTAATCAATATATATATATATATAACTAATGAATATTTTAATTTCTCAAAGATAGATTTTTCATGTATAATAATTAGTGATAAAATGATCAATACATATATATATATATATATATATATATATATATTACTAATTATCTTTTTATTAGCATATAAACTAAAGATAAATTGTTTATATTTTAAAATATATAATAATAATAATAATGTGTTTTTTAACTAATTTTCATTATTATATCTTTAACTATTTAATAAAAATATATTTTTCATGTATAAAAATTAGTTCTACATTTATTCAAATATATAGCTAATGAATATGGTAAATGTTAATAAAAGTTTAAAAAAAAAATTACTACAGATGTGTAGGATGAAGTGCCTTCACCACCATCTTTCAAACTCAATTATTTATATATATAGATTTTTCCTCACCCGAAGACTACGAACTCTGGGGGATCTCGTGACGTGTACGCAATTGTCCCTTGGCATGATTATCCAATACCTTTAGTTTCTCAAAATATATTTATATATGTTATTTATTTTTGTACAAGGTAATAAAAGGGTAATAAAAGGAAAATACAGAATATTTCGTGACGAAGAAATTTTTTTTTTATAAAACACATGAGAAACGGTGGAATGGGCTGATCTAGTATGGTTTAAATATGCGATCCCAAGGTATGCTTTTGTTCACTGGATGGTTATGTAGAGGAGGTTGCCAACGCGAGACAAGTTATTTCGATGGAACATTATACAAAGCTCAACATGTGTGTTGTGCAACGAGGAGGAGGAGACACATGAGCATCTATTTTTCCGATGCGCATTCAGTTTGGAGACTTGGAAGCCGCTTGCAGCGAAGATTAGGGCTAACCCTCCGGCTGAGCTTCTGAGATGTCGACAGTGGCTAGAGCAAATTCCACCGACGGATGGCTGGGAAAAAAGAATGGTATTGAAAACACTTATCCAACATGCGGTTTATGAAATTTGGAAGGAACGAAACTGCCGAGTGTTCAAAAACTTGGCTTCGACAATGGATTGACAGATCGATGCAGACTTCACTCCTCTCTTTGCAGCAGGCAGGTCATAGTAGAAGCAATCCACTGCTTCAGAAATGGTACTCTTGGATTATGTATTGAGAAATTGGTGATATTAGTTGCGTAGACATTGCTGTAAAAGCTCAATTCCTGTATAGGTTAAGCTAGCGAAAGCTATTAATGTGGATTTGGATCATGTACTATGTACAACCCATTTTTGAAGAAATAGATTAAACATTTCATAAAAAAAAACACATGAGAAACGGAAGCTCCACTGAATCAACGAGTAAACCTCAGTGGACTGAAATGGCACTCCATATAACATCAACACGCACCCATAGCCCTATGGGACATCCTCCTTCGGTTCCAATAATATTTGAGAAGAAAATTTTAATTATTAAATTCAAACATGGATAATTCAACCGCTAAACATGAAATATTTGTTCTCTCGCATTTGAACTTTAAAGATAAAATATATAATCTAAATTATATAGTTGGTTTTTGATCCGGCATTAGTCTAGTCTGTTACCAAAAAAACTTTTAATTATTGAGATTCCCCTTCCTAACCTATTAACCATGTTGTCTTATCTGTATGTGCATGTGCTGTAACTGCTCACACTCTTCTTGCTTAGTTTATTATATATAAACAAAGCTCGTACTATTTTAATATCGCATCCTCATCTTTCATTTTTTTTTGGTAAAACTCATCTTTCATTTCTTCCTCGCAGCAAAAAAATAAAGATCTACAATCTCCGATCATGGCTTCCATGAGTTTCGCCTTGGCTCGCCCTGCTCTCGCTTCTGACCTCGCCTCCACCGCTGAATTCCACTCCTCCGGTCGCCGTCTTCGCTTGTCTCCGTCCAGCCGAGTTGGTCTGAGGATCTCTGCTTCCGCCGATGCGGTGGATCCCGATCTCAGCGTCACCGTCAATGGCCTCAAGATGCCGAATCCGTTCGTGATCGGGTCTGGTCCTCCTGGTACCAACTACACCGTCATGAAGAGAGCCTTTGATGAAGGCTGGGGTGCTGTTATCGCCAAGACCGTAAGCCTTCTCCATTGCTTTTCTCCTGTTTGGTTCCCGAGAAAATCGACATTTGACTGGGAGATCTCTAAAACTTGCTTTGATTTCTCAGTCCGAATCTCTCCCCTCTTCTTACTGATTCTAGTTTTATGGAAATTTTTTACTTAGGGTTGATGACTGATCTTAGTCTTCGTTTATGATTGTTGACTCGGTTTCACTAGATGCTATTCAAAGTTTTTTACATAAGCCGTCTCGATCTCTTCATCTGATCGCGTCTTGGGTAGCTTATTCTGATGCGATTTGACTTGAGAGATTCAGAAATATCCTTGGGGCTCTTAGTCTTGAATACATACATGCTCCACTTTTTGCTCATCTTTTTTTACCAACTGGGACTTCTGTTGTGCGTATAAGTTTTACGATTGACAACTAAACCAGGTCTATCTGTGATTGAATTAGGTTTCACTTGATGCTGCCAAAGTTATTAACGTAACGCCTAGGTATGCCCGGTTACGAAGTGGATCAAATGGCTCGGCGAAAGCTGATATCATTGGGTGGGAGAACATAGAACTCATCAGCGACCGCCCTCTGGAAACCATGCTCAAAGAGTTTAAACAACTGAAAGAGGAGTATCCTGATCGGATTCTCATTGCGTCAATCATGGAGGAATACAACAAGGCTGCCTGGGAAGAACTCATTGATCGCGTTGAACAAACTGGAGTTGTGAGTTTCTGGGTTTACCCTGATCTGGCGTATCCTACCCCTTTATGTTTCTTCGATGTCTGATATCGGAATTCTACATAATGTTGGGTAGGACGCCTTAGAAATCAATTTCTCTTGTCCTCATGGCATGCCGGAGCGCAGAATGGGTGCAGCAGTTGGACAAGATTGTGCTCTTCTAGAGGAGGTCTGTGGATGGATAAATGCTAAAGCTACTGTACCTGTATGGGCCAAGATGACCCCCAATATTACCGACATATCACAGGTATGGCCGCCGTTTTTCACTTGTGTTCACCTCCTTGTCTTTCCATCAAAGTTAACTTCAGCTCCTGTCAGTAACGCTTAGTCCTTGTTAGTTTTGTTAAATCGTATTTTTGTTAGAACTGATAAACCGTCTGTGTAGTCTATCCTTATTAAGACATTTAAGCTTCCTGTAAGTTGCTACTAAGTTTCTCATTTGCATTTACATACAAATTACACTGTTCCACCTGCTACTTTATAGAATCAACCTTTTAGGTATCGATGTGTGGGATAATAATGCTGATGCTGAAGATAGATTTGCTCGTTGGCATTTCTTTCTTTTCGAATAGCCAGCTCGAGTATCTTTGAAATCAGGATGTGAAGGAGTAGCTGCCATCAACACTATCATGAGTATCATGGGAATCAATCTTAAAACGCTGCGTCCTGAGCCGTGCGTTGAGGGGTTAGTGAGGATTCTTATGCTGTGGAGCTTGATAATCTGTGCCAGCCTCGTATCCGAATCAAAGAGTTCTGAACATTTTTATTCCTTGCAGCTACTCAACTCCAGGAGGCTATTCATTCAAGGCTGTCCGCCCTATTGCACTTGGAAAAGTGATGAACATTGCCAAGATGATGAAATCTGAGTTCAATGATAAAGATTACTCGCTTTCAGGCATCGGAGGTGTCGAGACAGGGTATGATGCTGCTGAGTTCATTCTCCTTGGCGCAAACACTGTACAGGTGTGTAACCTCCTCTTGTCTGCTCAATGCTATTTCTTTGACAACATTGATTTGCTTTCTAGCCTTTGGACTTTAATTATCACATAAACTGTGCCTGGAACCATTTGCACTGCTAGACATGTGTTCTTATAACTATATATTCGGATATAAATATTATGAGACCAGGCGGGGATGAGAGGTTGGCAATATGGTCAACTTGCTGCCTTTCCATCCTACTGATTGCTGCAGGTTCAAATATCTCCGTAGGTGGGACGTGCGAGTTTTAAAATTGCATCTATGTGGGCTAGTCATATATATACTATGAGACCAAGATTAATTAACTGAAGTCTTGTCACTGCTTTTGGTTGAAGGTATGCACTGGTGTGATGATGCATGGATACGGTCTTGTTAAAACCCTTTGCAGTGAGCTTAAAGATTTCATGAAGCAGCACAATTTCTCATCGATAGATGACTTCAGGGGGTATGAATTATTCTGAAATGAGAACTTTTGATTGCCTTTTTGGGTCAGCGGTTGTGTGCTGACCTGACCATTTGTGGCTTCTCAGGCATTCGCTTGAGTACTTCACGACACACACGGATTTGGTGCGGAGACAGCAAGAGGCGATACAGCAGAGAAGAGCGGAGAGGAAAGGGTTGAAGTCCGACAAAGATTGGACCGGAGACGGGTTTGTGAAGGAGACGGAGAGCATGGTTTCAAACTGAAGTAAAAGGGTAAGGCCAGAGTTGCATATTGTGTGGTTGGTAATGGTATGGCATGGTGAGCTGGGGAAGGGAAAGTAGTGGCCAACAGAAATAGGACGTCCAGATATTTAACGAAGTAGAGTAATCATAGAGTTATTTATATGTTGTTTGATATTGTGATCACACTCTTTGCAGGCACAATTTGGTGAGGCAGTGGATGGACTCTCAATGAAATGAAAACGTTGTGGCATCGGTCCAATTCCATGTGTTAAAATAATTAACACGTAATTATCAATTTCCACTGGTTAAGTTGTTATTTTCTTCAAAGGACACGCGTCTTGAATCCATCAATATGTTGTTATGTAATTTTCTTCATTTTTAAAGTTTAGTTATGTTTGGATGTGTTGCGGCTGTGTAATGATAATAATGCTACAATCAACGTCCAGTACGGGATGCGTGGTAGTAGAATGAATGATGCCCTAATCACTCCCGGTAAGGTTCTCAAAGATTTCAAAGGAGGTCCCATTACCAATCCTCAAACAGTGATCCTGTCGTGGCTTTCTAAGATGATGAGCTCCCTCGAGTTCCGGAGAGTTTCGATGACCTGAGGTGCAGAGAACCCCTAATTAAAGAAGATAGATATGAAGTGAAGAGAAGCTCAAAGACGGAGAAGAAGATAGAAGAGACATTTTTTTTAATTTTGATAAGGGTAATATGGTCTTTTTACTTTAAAGACGGTAAATCGCTACCGCAACGCAGATGAATTGCGGCCTTTTGATTCTTCAGGTTTTGTTACAGTTACGTTTATCTACGGATTAACCAGTCAGTTTCTCAGTCGCCACCACCCGTTAGAAATCGCAACAGCTCTGTTTATGGGTGGCGGCGGTGCAACCAGTGAGCCCTTAGTCTCTTCGTATGTGAATTTGTCAACTGTGGAGAACTCTCGTATAGTTTGAAAGCTATTATACGAGAGCAAAAATTTATCGAGTGTGCATCCGAATGTTAGTGGCCGTGGGTTTCCAGATCATCTAAAAAAAACTTGTCGATCTACTCACCAACCAAATCTCAATGGCAATGTTTATATAATAAGATTAGATTCAACGCATTGGTCCATATATAGCGAGAGGATATATATATATATAAAACAATAATATATTTTACCATATTTAGGGTTTTTTTTAAACCCAGGATCATTATTACCATTACTTATTAGTTTATAAATTGTATGAAACCTATTGAATTAAAAAAAAACAAACAAACAATTTTTACAAGTTGGCTCCAATTAAAATCGGAAGCCACAGCACAAAAGCTGAATTAGATTTGATAAAGAGTTTGGACGAAATTGATAGTTGAATTAATACTAATTGATATTTTAAAAGAAAAGGAAACGATGGGATATACAATCACAACAATCATAATCCTCCTATTCATAGCGTGAAAGGGAATGGGGTGTGCGTGTGTATATATATATATAGAAGAAGGGTTTTATTTGATCAATCACACCACAGGTAACGGGGGAGAGACATGGCCGATCCAGTCGGAGACTCGAGTGGAGATTGGGGTGAGGCCGTGACAGTGACACACAACATTCTCCAGGGCGTGGTGTGGGCGGCAGGCGTCACGACG